TCACGTCGACGCCATGTTGCTACAGATGACAATAGCGTGGGTGTTCCCGCAGAGACGTCAAAATGCCGTATTTCTCAAATCTTCCAAGAATTTAATTCCGTTCGCTTCAGCAACTAACCCTCTGAATTGTGTTTCACTAATTCCCGTGTGGCGTTCAGCGGAGTCAACGTCTCTTTCTCTTCACCTATATTTAATCTAATATATCAATCTGTGAATTATGTAAAACAATTTGTAGTGATTAATATGTTGTGGGTTTTTAAAAAATATATTAACTTGTGGAAAAAATAAAAAGAGTGAGGCATATTATAAATCATAAACAAAATACAAACAACAATGTATCAATAAAAACTGACATTAAAGCGCTGGTAGAAAGGAAAACGACAGTTTTTAGAAATTTAAGAAAATAAAATCTGTAACATAATGAAAATAGAAGAATACCGTGTGTGTGTGTGTGTGTGTGTGTGTGTGTGTGTGTTGCATCACTTTATCGAATTGATGACTTTAATTGATTGTGTGAGTGGCGGGAGATACCAACGGGAAAAGACATTCTTTCCCTTTTCGCGCACACCTATACTGTCGTCTTTAATATTCACTGATGCATTCATATAACTGTCATCATTATTTGGCCTTTTGCGCTAAATGGAATTTGATTCATCAGATAACCCAAACTTATTATCTGAAGACGTCTTATATTTATAGATAACGAAAAACATTAACCCACCATATAATATTGATTTCACACAACAATCTTAGTGGGATGGTAGACCCGTGAAGATCCGGGGTAGAATAGGTCTTCAGCAACCCATGCTTGCCGTAAAAGGCGACTATGCTTGTTGTAAGAGCGACTAACGGGATCGGGTGGTCTGGCTCGCTGACTTGGTTGATGCATGCCATCGATCCCAATTGCGTGGATCGATGCTCATGATGTCAATCACTGGATTGTCTGGTCCAGGCTTGATCATTAACAGACCGCCGTCATATAGCTGGAATATTGCTGAGTGAGGCGTTAAACAATCATCCAACAAACAAACAAATAGCGGGATGGTACGATTGTATACACACACCTGATATAAACAGGACATTAAGTTCATAAACATTGTTCATTTATCTTAGATACCAACGCACATGTGGAATCTCCCGACCACACCCTCTTTCAAACTCCAATTTCTCATTTGTGACAGCAATGACGGCAAACCCGATTTTACCTTTGATGTCGTTGCACCCAAGGTCAACGACAGTTGTGTATATTCACGAGTCTTTCTGCTACACCACGTAGCAAATCAATACAGTCGAGAGCTTACTCCAACACACGACATATAAAGTCCCGCCATGCTCAAACTCACACCATCGCAATTCATCCCTCGAATAAATTAATAGCCGCGTGTTTAGCACTTGTCTGTTCTTCGGGGTTACCGTGTAGATGAATTATATGTACTACAGACGCGGAAGGCGGTGGTCACAGGCGTGATAAGCAGAACAGGACGCGGTCATATATCACCACAGATCAATGCTCATATGAGGAGTTACGCACTGGAATCGTCACATGGAGGATGGTGATTGATGGACATCGTATTAACTGTTCCTCGGGAGGCGTAATGGTGATGACATACTCGTGGTGTATCACACACGACGTCAACTTGTATTCGCGTATTCGCTAGTGATATTCGCATCACAATGGAAGATAAAAACCCTGGGGTGAATATACCTGAAATCTACCGATTGAGGAACGCGTCACCTCAACAGATACTGCTTTGTTGACGCGATCGGGCTATTTTATCTTAGGAAGAAGATTACTTTTCGTGAAGGCAGCCACACATTCTGTTGGGTTTGATATCAACAGAAATAACCACCGCAATTGATTTCTAATAAATCCGGGACATGCGTTGACGTTAATTTCCAAATTGAAGGGGAACTGTAGAGCGTAAACATTTAAATAATATCAACAATGACTATAAGCTACTTAGTAACAATAACAAAATTGATTAATATTTATGAAAAAAAATGGAAAACGATGGTAATATTATTGCAAATGATAATAAAAGATCATTTTCTTTCGTAATAGTAATAATAATAATAATAATAATAGTAATGACGATGACGATGACGACGACGATAATAATAATAATAATAATAATAATAATAATAATAATAATAATAATAATAATAATAATAATAATAATAATTTAAACGGAAAATCATGTCGAGAAGAAATCCTAGAGAAATTCAAATCCGGTGCGAACTAACCTACATTTGATGAAATCCTTTGAATGATCTGGAGGATGTGTGTCATAATGTTATACAAGTGTAACGAGCGCGGGAACTGCAGCGTGAACTGCGAGGGAATGTCAACATGCGTCACCCTATACAGCGACAGATGGACGCTATTTGTTTTCTGGGCGGGGCGAAGTCCCCAACATGAGAACCTGCCGTGCGGTGCAGTGACTCTCAATTACTTTCAATTACTGTGCAGACATACAAGAAATATATGTCTGCACTTGGAGCATAGTTTGGTTTGGCTATCATCATCATCGTCGATGTCGTAGTCGTCGTCGTTGTCGTCATTCGTCTTCTTCTCATTACTATTATTATTATCAATATCATTATTGTTATTATAGCTAACAACTAAGCAAGGCAACAAATGTGGTAAAATTATACAGTGTTCGTAAAGGCCAATTGCGTGCACTTTCATTTGAAATTTTCAACCAAATTTCACGATAATTGAACGCGAATTGCCAAATCACATTAAGCAACCCTCCCTTTCCAAATCTGCACTTGCTAGCATTGCTTGGAAAATATGAGTTGATGAATTTTTTTATGTGTTAATATCCAAATAAAATATTTTCAATAATTAACTTCTTTGGAATAATTCATTAGTAATCAGATGAAATACTTTGAACTAGGAACATGAGATTGGACGGAGTGTTATGATAGAGTCACGTGATGAAGGGTCGGAGGTGGCAGTGTGGTGGTCGTTTCGGAACCCGATAATAATGACAATCAACGGTCATCAAATTCTAGTCAGCTTTACTACATCCATATTAGATTAAACTTTAGAAATAAAATATAGGTTTCCTTTTACATCACATCATTACGCGGTTTAAAATAATCACTAACGATTTAATTACATTATAATGTTTTCAAACACCCAATTATGAATCAAAATTATGGTCTATTCCCCAAGATGTCGATTTCCTCGAAATCATGTCTCGTGAGTGATTGCTCGTGGCACGTGCATGTGACGCAGAAGCCCGAGATTTGTTATTGTGATGGACGCCGAGCCTTACTGCTGACAGACGGGATTCGGTTTTCTTTCAAGGTCATTGTTTTGTAGTCAAAGAAGCGAGACTGGTCGAACGGGTGGGACAACAGAATAGGGGGTGGGGGGTGTCGCTGGTGACCTCTGGTTGATTGTAGATCTGAGGGTGCAGAACGCTAACTGTCAGCGTCCACATGATGAGGAGGATACGGGTCAGTGCCCCGCAATACCGACCGGCGACATTGTCCTAGGATATGCTAATTGGGGCATTAACCATCATCGTTAGCCCGCCAATCATTTTGTAAAGAGAATCACGAGCGAAGGTCAAATCAATAATTTGGCCCTTTCACCGTAAATACTAATGTTATGAATAAACGGATATTTCAATCTGGGTAGACATTTTGATAAAGTAAAAGATTGTATCTACATCTAAATACATAGTAGTTATTTATCAATTCACATAATCATTTTGTGAATCATTTCGTGAATTGTGATTGACACGTGGAATAAGCAGATAAATAAAAACAATCTTTTGTAAATAATTCAATTATTATTATTTTTTTATGATAACTTATTATTGGCATTCCGTCCAACATCAATACAAGATATGTTATTGCACTTGAAAAAAGTAAATTGATGTATATATAAATGAATACACTTGTAGCATTGAATGAAGCTGAAAATCATTTATCTCTCTTTCCAGTTATTACAATGTGTCATAGATTGACACATTGTATCAACAAAGACAGTGGTTTTGTGGTAAAACTGTGTAACTATTATTAATTATGTTGCATACATCAAAGTGTTAGTAAACAATGTAGTTTCACATTTCCAAACAAAGCTATTGAATACGGCTATGTGTTATAGGATTTCGGCAACGTTTAACCACATAGTCGAACACAGAATCGCCCGCTGGTGTGCGGTAAATGTAGTTTACAACACATAACAGATTATTTGGGTCTATCACAGCTGCTGAAAACATCTGTGTATATGCCATATCGATTTGTTATGTGTTCGTAAATAGTGATAAACACAAAATCAGAAAATGTTTGATTGTCGATAGACGCTTGTAGGATGTGTTTAGGCGGAGGGATGAAGCATGCTCGTTATGGGATTTACATCTCGGTGTCTGTGTGCAATTCTTCAACTATCGACAGGCTAAACCTTGCATGACAATAGACAAGAATGCCATCACCAGTAACCTTTGCATGAATTCTTCCTCAAGCTCACATAGACACCATGCAGCAAACCGATCATGCCATTTTGAGATTAATCGGTAATGTTTTTACGGTTGTAATTTATCTATATTTTTTCTCTAGTTAAATTAGCACGCTTGAGTTGGCCAGCATTTCCCAGTACCAGGCTCAAGGGACCCGCTCGCATTGACTAGGGTTTATGTGAATAAATCGTACGGCAGATTATTGCCATTTCTCTCTGCGATCTCGCACAGAGGCAAAAAACAGATGCATTCAATAGGACTTGACGTGTGTAATCAAAGCAAAAGCGCTACCGAGCTTAGGGCCTCGGCTTGTCATTGGCTGCTATTTTCTAACATAAGCATGCGGGGCGGGTTTGTTTTCATTGTGCTGCATAGACTCAGGGCGTAACGACCAGTCAAATATTCCCATGACGTCAGTGTAAACTGATATCAGTTGCCCGGCAACGGCCTGACAGCCAATCAGCATATCAGGATGGGGTGTCAATCAGCAGTCCTTCGCGCCTTTGTGCGACGCGCGAAATGCCCACCCACGACGAGCCAATAGATGTGAGCGGGAGACTATCTGGGCAGCAGGAGCCCACGTGCGACTCAGTCAGTCAGTGGAGTAGATAGTTAGGAGTAGCCGGATAGAAATATGAAGATGGACTCTACCCAACAGTCATCACCAAACAGCACGGACGAAATCCCTAATGACCCTGGGTAAGTGACTATCGCCATCTTAAAAACCCCGATCTTGTTGTCTGACAGTTGGCCGACATTGCTCTCTCTTTCCTTGTAACATTTGGAAGATTTCTCTTGATCGAGAACGCTAAACTCGTCCAATTAGGTCAGCGTTTCAACATGGCCAAACTCTCTCGTCACACCGTTTCTCTTTCTTTTACAGGAAGATGTTTATCGGAGGCCTCTCGTGGCAGACGACTGCAGGTTAGTGTGTCTTCTTCTTCTTCTGTTATTGTTTCGCGTGCTGTAGTCTTGTGTACTCGCCCGTCCATTCATGGTGTACATCAACTCAGCCGTCGGCCCGGCTCGCCGAGTGATCTCGCCTTCCAAGTTCACCTACGCTGAGGCGGTGGGGAGGGGACTTATTGAATTGTGATTTGAGTTCTTTCGGAAGTAAGCCGATCTCTCTCGTTATGAGATGAGGGAAATGGGTTCTGAGAACGGAAAAGCCATTCTACAACCGAGGTGACTTGCAGTTTAACGCAGATAGCGGTCAGAGATGACTATAAACAATTCACTAGCGTGATGCCATCATTATCTCCCATAGCCTGTCTTTCATCCAGCGGTCTGCATCCTTAATATCCAAACTGTCAACGCCATATTTCTGTACGAAAATAACACATGCAAATGTCGTTTTCAGAGGGCCTACGGGAGTATTTTGGGAAATACGGCGAAATCAAGGAAACAATGGTGATGAAAGATCCCGCTACCAAGAGGTCCAGGTAGGGTGCTTTCACCATTTTGCTACTGTGTGCACGTCCATCAGTCAACTGCTCAATGAACGGCTAGAGTCGCCCAGAGTGACCGGGATGCGCCTCGCGTCCAGCGGTTAGATTAGAACTGTAGTGTAGATTGTACGAATGCTAGAATTTCCTAGTCAAATGGCCCTTATAACCTTCATGCACTCTGTCCGGTATCCACCCTGACCTTGCTTGTGTCTACGGGACTTGGTCGCTACGCTATATGTGTGTCTGCAGTAACTTACATCACCCTGAAAAATATACATACATTCCCGTGTGACCCCCTCCCTTAGAAATATATAATCATTTCCAGACGATGCATTTTAGAATCGAATGAATATCGATAACAATGCTTACAGTTTCCCTTATCTTTTGACCCCAAACGAAATTTACATCGTGTAAGATTGTCAATTTACATATGCCCATTCAATGTGTCTGGGTTGCCAGATTGTTTACGTTTGGAGCTATACAGTGTTAATGACGCTAGGAGTTCCTTTCTGTCACAACTTACAGGCAGAGGTTGTTGTCTATGATGTTCCCACAGCAAGGGCATAAAGCGTCAAGTCAAGTGTGAAATGAAGCCGAAAATATCCCGACTGTGTGCTAGCAGAGCGGGAATCCCCTCTCTAATGAGCTAGCTGGAATATTTTCCTCTCACTTCCAAACTCACACTCCGAGCAGGAATTCCTCACCCAGGGTTCACACACCTTCTGCTTTGGACAGGGTTGTTTTGAAAACCCGCTTCCTGAAAGCATTTTTTCTGTGAAAATATTTGACCTAAAAATACTTCAACTGTTTCGGTTTCACACCCTTTCTTTTAATTTGATGTTTTTTAAAAATCTATTTTTGTGTTAGGTGAATATCATTTTCTATTTATGTAATGTTTTGACTTTTATGCAAGTCTTGTGTTCTTAGACATAGTCACACATGAATTAAGAATGACTCCTGTTTTAAAATAAAACATCCCATTATAAATAGTTCTCATATTCACAAATAACGTTTCTGTGAAAAAAGTATTTCTAAATGTGGAATTTTTTATTTTCTGACAGTATTCTCAACATAGATAAATATCAATCCAACAAAAGTCTATATCAATTTTACATGACATTTTTTCAAGTCAACTGTTTCTAGTTTTCATACAAACAGTATATGACTGTTCCCCTGACCATGTGTCCCCTGCATCCTCACTATACCATGTTCTCCATCCCCTACTACTCTGTGCAAAGGCTTGTTGCAGTGTAGCGTGGTCATGTTGCTGCCCCTACGACACCCCTGTGAAGGCCTAGTATTCTGTATACTGACGTGTAGTGGTCTGTTTTTCAGGGGATTCGGCTTCGTAACATACCGGGATCCTGCTAGCGTAGAGAAGGTTTTAGCTAGCGGCCCTCATGCTCTAGATTCGAAAACGGTACAGTAGCTTCGTTCTTCATTGTAGTTGGTTGGACTACGCCACAAAAATATGACACCTTGAAAATTAGATATATCGACAAAATTGAATTTACAAATTTATATATTTATGCTCATTTTTTGGAATATGGATGAAGCCAGTCATTCTGATTGTCAAAGATTATGACACCTCAAAAATTAAAAGATGTTGACAAAATGACATTGCAATTTTAACTCTTTGGAACATTCTGACTGTCACACAAATTTGGAAATTTATGTGATTTTTTTTTTTAATATTGTGTGAATTTGTTTCTTAATGAATTAACTTTTTAAGAATTATAAGTTGGAATTTCGAAGTAATTTCTGGCTGTCACCATTAATTTGTAGCACTTGTCATGACATATATCACATCATGGCTTATGGCCTTGTTGAAAGGTTAGTTGACTAGAACATAGCATGTTTAGTACGCCTTTTCAAAGTTGCCATTGATGTAGTTATTTAGCCAAATACTTGATCTTATCCACTGTTTTTGGTGTAGCTGTAGTACTCATATAACTGTATGACTTATCAAGTTACCGCTTCTTAAAGTCCCAGATACTTATCTTAATTTGCTGTGGCATGTTAAGAGTTTGATTCAGAATAATTTATTCATAATTACAATGTTCATTTTTGAAGCTAAAGGTTTTATTTTTGTGGCGTATAGTCCAGCACCCAATTTGTAGCATTGTCCTCACGATGTATAATCATGTGCTTGTCACCTTTACCTAGAGGCTTCGGTCGTTATCTTGTATCCATAGACTTCATGTGTTTGTAATACCTTCAATTTATACCTTTTGTTATTCACACCTCATTTCAGATAATATCTTATTGATTGTAAACGCAACAATTTATCACAGTTCAAATTCTGTGTTTATGTGTAGGCCTAGAGTACTGTTGATTACATCACACCTTATTCCAACTGTGTTAATGATCGTGTATTCAATAGCACAAGCTATAACCGAACCGTATTGACGCTAAGCTTTCTCCAATCTCTGCTTTTGTGCCAGTGTTTGCTTATACCGACCTGGTAAAGAACTTCTAATGGTATTTGCCTGCACCAGAGTGCCTACGCCAGCGAGTAACGTATAGCTGCATATTCCATTTCTATCAATCAGTCGGGTAGGAGTAGTCGAACAGGTTTCACATCCATCCTGGCACAGATACTGTATGATGGACAACTATTGTTTTCTTTTCCCCTCACAGGTAGACCCTAAGGTGGCGTTCCCGCGGAAGGCACAACCGAAGGTGAGTTTGTTGGTATATTGATCTTACGGGGAGTCAGGGAATTGTTCAACAATCCCGGGAAGTGACCACGGGACTGTTGTCTGCTCTGGCAATGTTTTGTGCAACAAAACATTCCCACAAATCAACACCACACTTTTTGTTGATATGCAAAATCTGAATGCTGAAAAGCCAGGTGTCAATTTTTAGAGCAGGTTTTCAAAAACTGATCCAGTGGATTGATCTGAAATGTGTTCGTCTAATAGCAGTCGTTAGCATGCTGTGAATTATGGGTAGAATAAATATTTGACGGAAGCCACTGACGTCAAAGGTACCATTATGCGGTAGGTCTGATCCGAGATCGGTGGCTGTTTGCTAAGGCCAACTGCAGCGCTCACATCCTTCATTTGCGAAATTACAGCCATAACTATAAACTACAGTGGAATGCATTCCAAACTTGAAGCAGTCGAACAGGAAAGCTGATGGCTTATACGAGAATATTGATTTTGTGCTGTGTCTAATAGCAAACTGTAACTGACCGAGCGACACTGACGACTAGCCGGAGACTAGCCTGTGACGGGGTAGGCACCATTGATATAGTAATCACAACTGCCGGATTGAAACGAAAATACATCGGCGCCACTCGGAACATCCTGGCTCTAGCACAAGGGACTATTCTAAGTAGTAGTGAATATTTCGATGTTGGTTTCGTGTGATTATGCTAATAGAAGTTAAATGACTGACATCCATTGCTTAGTTTGGTTTGGATTCATAAATCTTTTATAACCATGACAATTTGATTATCAGTGTTATTTGGGTGGGGCAGAAGCCAGGCAAGGCATTTGTTGTTATTTTAAGATCATTTGTTCCCGAGATTTTTGAACGTGTAAATCGAGATGTACCTGAAGGATATCATGACGATAGGCCCCCCCTTTGATTTTAACAACCGTTAAGTATACATGGGTTTAAGTGAGGGCAAACTGCCTTGAACGCTAGCACAGGAAGCTATTACCCTCACAATGAGCATCCTTCCTCAATTAATTCACCACGGCCATAACTACAGCTGAATGAAAAGTCCAGGCTGGGTGAAAAGAGTGTCATTATTACCTCACGGAACCACTCCGCCCCAGGCTATTTTCAGTGGGTCAGTTTAATCAAGGTCAAAAGGTCATGTTGATAACCCTAAAGGGTGTGGTGTAGACAATATCAGGCCTCGGGCACCAGCTGTGATGCAGGGTCTTACTTCACGACACAATGTCGACCCAGGGACATTGTGTCGACTCAATATGTAAACAAAAGTTTACAGGGATAGAGCATGGTAGGGGGAGATTATCTAGAACAATAATACTCCTGACTTATTGTGCACAGTGTTTCCTGAGTGTTTGAGATGCTAGGCCTCTGACTTATTACTCAACCATCTTTTGAAAAATACAGGTACACCTGTCATTGAAATTTTTGCAATTAATATTTTCATCACATTTGGACCCTGTCTTGTTTCTCGTGCAGCTGTTCATTTACGACATGGTCAGTGAGAGGATACTTATCAGATGAATTAATATTTAGACTGAATGGTTTTGAAAAACGATACATTTGGTTTTGTATAACTGTCTCTTGTAGTGTGATTGCTTAGTGATGATTAGTGTAGGAGGGTTGAAGGAGTCGGGCTTGTAATGTATCACAAGTTGATATAGAATTGACATAACTTAATGAGAAGAAGAATTGTTCTCAGAGACGTACAAGCACATTACCTATTTCTTGCCCAGCATCAGCCTTAGAAATTCTTGTTTCAGAGGACTAGTGTAAAGCTTCTTTCACTAGATATCAGAGTTTGTAGCTTGAACCAGACAAACATGTTTACTATGTTGACACTTTCTGTCAATTTTATTCTGTTTCAATTTGTAAACAAATCAAAGCATTGAGAACTGGTTCAGAATTATAGCCCTCAAATGCCACTAGTCAATGAGGGCTCTCTTTGGATTTTTGTCTTGTCCACAGCACAATTAGTAGTGTCGGACAAGAAGATTTCAAAGGCTGCAGCATTTGAAACTGCACAATAGCCCTAAAAGTTCTCAACGGGAAAAAAAGTCTTGGGAAAAGTAGAAATTATGGAAATTGGACAGTGTTCCTCATCAGTGTCACTAGACAAGAGACACTGATATTCTATTGCTGATAACATTAAATAATTTTGTAAAACAAACAATCCGGATACGATTCAGGGCTGAGTGTACAAGCTGTACAGGGTTATGCAACTGTGAAATGACTGGTGTATACGACGGCAGACTGGGTGGACTATTCATCCCCTCTAAGTGCTCCATGTGTACGAACGTGTATGAAACCACCGCCCAGACACCAAAGCAGTGCATGTGGCGGCTATAAAAAACCTGGGCCTGTGATCCAGGGAGGTGTTGCGAGATTAGTCTTCTCACTGGGACCCAATTCACAGTTTCTAAAGAACATTGCACTATTTGAATTGGCTGGAACAGACACTGTCTTTGTGTAGCCTGAGATTTGGAGATGGTAGATGGGGAACAGGTTTCTTAAGGAGTGGGGGGGGGGGGGGGGGGGGGGGGGGGGGGGGGGGGGGGAGGGGGAGCAAGTGCTGTCTGTGGGGAGGGGGAAGCAAGAACTCTGTATGGGGGAGGGAGGAAGCAGAACTGCTCTGTGGGGGGGGGGGGGGGGGGGGGGAGAAAAGAGAGGAAAAACTGTGGGGGAGGGTGAAGCAAGAGCGCTGTGAGGGGGGAGGTAGGAAGAGCTCTGTGTTTGAATGAGGGGAGGAGTTGATACCTATATGTATTCAATTTAAAATGAACATACATCAGTTTTTGTATCGCAACTATTTGAAGGTGTTGGTCTGAATTGAAAGTGCAGGTGTTCTGTGAGAACCTGATCATGGTATAGAAACCTGTTCTCAATGCGACAGAGATGCGACAAGGTTGGAGGTGCATTCACAGTATTTTGAAATAATGAATAGAAACTGTCAGAAAGTGGATTAACTTGAATTTAGAGGTGGAGAGGCTAGTTCAGGAAGGAGACTGAAATAGAAGTTCATATTTAAAAAGATCTAGTAATAAGCTCGATATGGTGTGATTTGTTGTAGTTGGGATGGTCACTTTTCAATTAAAATTAGGAACGTTTATACTAAATATTCCTGTTTAACGTGTATTTTTCAAATCAAGTGACCTGGCATGATAACTGCTATATTAGAGCTGCTGTATTTTCTATGTATGGCCGAGTCTGGTCCATTCTCTGTATACCCGATTTGTGTATATACTTAGTGTGTATACTGTATGGGATAGTGTGATTCTGCAAATACAATGAATAAAAGAGCTTGGTGAAGAAAAACTTTAAGACCACCAGTATAGGCGGTCGTGTGTTCTTCTAGAGCATGGGGGCAGTCAGCTGATGGTTTGGGCCATGTTTGCTTGCTAGCTGAGTTGGGGTATCAGTACATGGGTGTGGCTGTGAAAAGTCTAACCTTTGACCCAGTGCAGCTGCCAGCCTCAGTTTGGCAGACAGATGCATGGTGGGAAAGAGCTCTTCAGGGAGGAGGGAGAAAAGTTCCATTTCTAAGTAGTTTACGCCTCATTTGTCGAGTAATGAATTCCGCTTTATGAATTGAAGAGCTAGTCTAGCACATGAATCCGAAGGACTACTTCAAGTGGCTGTGATTGATGCTTCCATTCAGTGTCCAGTGTCTCTTGCACTCTTAATTTGAGCTTTCTCCCATATATCACCAAATGTGAAAATGTATTGAAAAAAATATAACTGAAAGAAATGGTTGGAAGGCTGTTTTAAGTTATGTATAATCTGAGAAGGGTGGCTGTTCGTTCTGTAAAAGTGGGGATGTTCAGATATCCTGCACCACGAACTCATGCATCATACATGTCACCTACGGACAATCACAGAATGGGCGCCTACGGACAATCACAGAACGTCTTTCATTCATAGCGAGGCTATTTCTATATCAGAGTGTGATGTCTGTCAGTCACATGACGCTTTCCTGAGCGCTAATTATCTAGATCGGTAACACTTATGCGGCAGTCCAGATGACGTTATCGTCAGCACTAATTATCTACATCGGTAAAGCTTATCATGGCAGGCCTTTCCACCATCACTGCATTGCCTTATCAAGCTGACTAGATTGTAATCACTGGCCCTTTATCTCAGATTAAATCTCAGGGCGATGGAATGGAAATTAATTATGCAGACGATGTTAATGATTATGGTTCGGGGGCGGGGGGGGGGGGGGGGTGTGATAGGATATCGTCTCTTGGAGGGTAGGGGATAAGAAGGATGGTACACACCTGTTTGGGGAGATATCATCAGCAGCTAAGTTAATACCCTCATAATGGAACCATTAGTTAACGGACTGGTAGTGAGATAGGATTTATTTCATTTGACTGGAATTTTTGAACAATCAATTAATTGGACTGTCTGTAATTGAAGAGTTTGATTGATGTGTAGCAACTGGGCTGAACTAAGGGCGATTAACGATGAGAGAACGAACAGCATTCCTTACCCTAGACTATGTAGCTATTTCGGTGAACTTGTTTCTTTTTGAAGTAGAGTGGTACCTGGAATCTTAGAAACTGATAGGGGCAAGTTTAGAAAGTCGGAGGTGTATGAAGTATCGGTATGAGATTAGCTGTCTGAATATAGCCATGCATGCCCCGCCCAGTTATATAACAAGTGGTAGAACTGGGGTTATCAGTGCCAGGGATAAGGGAGACTGGTAAGCTGGGGTTAGGGTGGTGCATTCATTCCTTACCGGGCATGAGATAAGGTAGGTTTCGTAGTATACAGATAGCAGTTGGACGTGGGGGGAATAGGGGTTCAGGGTCATAGAGTGAGGCATGGGATGGGATATTTACTGGGGATGACATTATAGAGGCAAGCACCTGTTGTTTATTTTTACTAACATCTAGTCTCTGAAAATGAACATATTTTACACTGATACAGTTATTACATTATGGTTTTGAAATATAATAACAAGGAGCCCAGAGACTCTTCATTTTCAGAGACTT